ATTAAAATATCAAAATTCACATTTGGCCTTTTAAATTGTTGAGTTGAAGGAATTAAATAAAATAAGCGTACATTGGTAGTATTGGTACCAAAATAAATGTTGTTCAAATTCCCAAAAGGCAAATACACTCATCTGTTCAGCGAAAAATATTTTAATATAATGAGTTTGCCAATTAATTTCAGGTTAAAATTCTGTCACCAACTAATTGAAGAACCGGAAGTTGCTTTGCTTGGATTGGAGGACTTAACATATGCAGACGATTTGGTAACTCTCCCTTTTTTTCCCTTTTTTTTTTTTTTTTTTTTTTTTTTTTTTTTTAAGACGTAGCTTCATTTCAATCTTTCTTTTCTCTGTCTCATAAAACCCAATTCAAATTGTAATAAAATTAGTTTGATAGGTAATCTCAAAATTTAATTACTAATTGATGAACATACAGAGAAAGACTTTATGTATTTTGTTTTTATGTAGAAAACAAAAGGAACTCATAATGTATTTAAGAATGGAGAAGGCAAAGTCTTCGTTTTCAACTCTGGTATGTCTTACCGTCCAACCCGACTGGTAATTATTCTCCTCCTTAGAAATATATATGCGCAGATCTATATATATAGCTTCTGATTCTTCCATGAAATGCATGTATTTTGCAGCACAAACTGTAATTATGTTATTGGTTTTACCATGGGAAGCATTCCGGTTGCTCAGACTAGCAGAACACAATTGCTTTCACTGATGGGGTGGTATATTACCATGACTATATACATGTTTTATAGTCAAATTTGCTGTATTAGTTCATAAAGAGGAATTGTCCTTTTCTCTGATACTGTTAACACTACTCATGTTAATTCTCTTTCTTTGTATTGCAGCCTAAACAAGGATCATTCAGGTACAATTCTGCACTTTGCTAAGTGTGCTCCGATTTTTTTCTATAAAAGAACAGCTTTTTTTTTTTTTTTTTTTTTATCAGCCTATAAAAGAACAGCTTTAATTCAACTTAATAGTTAATACAGTTTGGTAGTATAACTCTACTCGTCAATTTCTAGTATTAAAAAAAAAAAAAGACTTAGAGAAGTGAGCTTTATAAATGTCTAGACACAATGATGTAAAGCTTGAAACTCAAAAACTTTTTCATGTTTCGTAATGCCCTATGTCCAGATATTTTGATTTACTATAATGGAGACATCTGCTTCAAAATCAGTTACATGTCAGGTAGTATGTAGCTTTGTCTGCGACATCTAACATTAAAAACTCATCTAGGAGACATAACTTCTTTTAACATTCAAGATAGATTGTGAGGTGCAGGCTTCAGAAGAGGCTGAGATTGAAACAATGTCAATAATCAGATGGGCAACACCACATGCTTTTCATCCTTGGAGGCGACAAATAAAACACAGTGACAATTGGCTCCAAGCAATTGAGCAACTTCATCTTCTGCAGGTATGAGAGTAAAATCTTGATTAAAAAAGACCAGTTTACTACTTTTTTAGAACATTTGTAAGCATGAAAATTAAGCATACAACAAGAGTTTGATAATTAGATTTGGCCATTTCATAATTTGTTTAGTTGTCAATTAATTAATATGTAGATGAACTGGCCATAACTAGCTAGCCTAACGGTTCACCAGCCAAGCCCAAACTCCTAGGTTGGGAGTTCAACTCCTGCCTATGGCTTGAGAACCTACAATTTCTCATGTTTAAAATAATAGTAAAATGCAGGTATAATGGTATATGTTGCTCTCTTCTTTATGCAATTGCCACTGACTGAGTTCAGGGAAAAGAAAAGAGCTCGAAGAAACAATCCTATCAGATGGAGGCATGCAAATGGAGAAGACACATGCATGTTTACCTTCCCAAGTATGCTTTGGTATGTTGAGCTCTTCAACCAATCAACCTCATAGTAATTTGTAACATTGGAAAACTGATGTCTGGATCAACTGATAGGCTTAATTAGCATGGACCAAAAAAATAGTGTAATTAATGACTAATCTAAGAGAAATTAATTGGAATATGGATTCCTTAATCTTGGATTTTGAGAGTTAAAAACAATAGAATTAGAAGTGATAGCATTGGCTATTTCAAAAGATTGTTCTGTTATGATGAATCAACTGTCATTACAAAATAAGCATCTACTAAAACCTGGACATTGTAGCTTTCATCTTGACAAGAAAACTGGAATGGGAAGCTTCATAAACTTTTCATTCTTCATCAACAGGGTTTGTCTTGTAGAAATCCTCAAAGGGATCACCACTTTCTGCAGCAAGCATGCCAGGCCACTTGTTTGCTACAAGATGTGCCAAATCAACAACCCTTTGGTTGCAATTATCCATCATATTATTGTTAATAACTAGTAAGGCACAAATATGGTTGTAGTTAGAAACAGGAAAGTTTTAAGGAATGTATCCTAACCTTTATCCCTATTCATTGTCATACCAGGCCACCACCTTAACCATGTCGTCTCCCATTACAATGGTTAGTGAAGAATCAATGGTAGAAGAAACATCGCTGCACCTGAAGTCCACTAACACAAGAGGAACATCACAGATGGCCAATATGCCCATCAATGGCCCCTCAGCTGCCTTTCTAAAGGCAGCATTGACACACTCAGCTGTAATCCCCCCCTTCTTAACATGCACAACGAGGTCAACAACTGAAGCATTTGGTGTTGGTACACGAAGTGCAATACTGTTGAGCTTGCCCTTGAGCTGGGATAGCACAAGAGAGATGGCCTTGGCTGCACCGGTACTCATTGGGACTATGTTTAATGCTGTGGCCCTAGCTTTCCTCAAGTCACAGTGTGAAGCGTCCAAGAGCCTCTGCATGATCACAAGCAGCAATTTAGTCTTCTTTTTTCAAATAAATCTCCAACTTTTCTGTAGGAATTCATTTGGAATTCAAAATTCTTTAAATTGGCTTAAGCTCTACATCCAGGTAGTATTTTGGGAAGTGCAAGTACCTGGTCTCCAGTGTATGAATGGGTAGTTGTCATTGTTCCCTTGACAATTCCTGCACATCATTTCCAAACTTTCAATGAAGTCAAAGAAAATCCACAACTGTGGTTATATGAAATTTGCCTGAACCGAATGGGTTTACATCAGAGTGAATGTGAAGAAGTGCTTACCCAATTCTTCATCCATGACTTTTACAAAAGGATCCAAACAATTTGCAGTGCAAGAGGCATTACTGCAATTACCGAAATTGATCCACTTATAAATTACACCATCAAGAACCAGAAAAAAATTTTCAAACTGCTTTATGAGCAATCATCTCTTTGGAGGTACTAACCTTATGATGTTTGAGACCTCGTGAGAGTAATCACCTTCGTTGACTCCAACAACATAAGTTGTAATGTCTGCAATTTTTTCTGGAGCAGTTATGATAACTTTCTTAGCACCAGCTTGAACATGCTTCCCAGCTCCAGGGCCATGCTCAACAACTTCTGTTCCCTGAAGAATGCATATGAACTTATCTAGTCATCTAAAAAGACTCCTAAAATTTTGTCTTTAATTAATTTTCCATCCCTTTGCATAGTTCAGTAATCTAGTACAGTTGTTGAAAGATTCTTACCATGAAACTGGAACCCAAAGTGTTTGTGCTAGTGAAAGAAATTATGTTTTAGAGAACTACAATGGATGAGAGGAAAGTGCAAGGACCCACCTCAATGACAATGTCAATGCCAAGATCAGCCCATGGAAGCTTGAGAGGGTCCCTGTTAGAGACAACCTTGATTGGCTTGCCATCAACACTAATGGTGGTATAATCCACAATTTTGACTTCTGCTTTGAAAGTTCCAAGCATTGAATCGAATTTCAACAAATGTGAAGCTTGTGTTTATCTAGCGCACCATTAGTTGATGAATGTAACTAATTAATATCACATGTTAATGTTAACTATAGTCAAGGAAACTGTTAGTTACTTACATTCTTGACACCACTGTTGTCATTGACAACAACCACATCAAGGGGTGAGTCTTTTAGGCCATGCTAGCATCGAAGGAAGTTCCTGCCAATGCGTCCAAATCCACTAATTGCAACCTTCAACTCGACAACAGTTTCTCTCCTGATAGGAGTTGATGCTACTGTCTAAATTTGGAAATACATTCAAGGCCGTTAGAAGTCAGAACCACAACAATGTTGCCTCACAACAAACTGTATTTTAGGAACAAAAGGTTCATGTTGAAAGTACCCTTACATTTTTTTGTACATTTTCCTTAGATACTTTTTCTTTCATATAAGACATCATGAGAACTCCACCAAGCGGCCTGATGGCCGCGCGCCTCATTAAGGCTGGTGGGTTGTTCACCAGATCTGAGAATCGAATCCCCAATTGCTAACATCTAACGATACTAACCTACTAACGATTGCTCTTATAAAAAAAAAACAAAAAATATAAGACATCATGAGATTTATGAAAAGTTATAGGCAGGGACATTTCCTTTCATGCAGCCTATTCCAAAGCTCGAAAGATCTGATCAATAGTTTTACTTTTAAAAAAGGATGAGACTATTATAATATATAAAAATGTGTTTTTATGGACTCAGAACTCCAGAACAACTTAATTGTGTCGAAATTTGCAAGAAACCACTAAACAATTTTAGAAAGATATTACTATGAATGGTCTAATCTCTGTGCACAAGCATAAAACAAGAAAGAAAATTCAGAAAAGATGAGAAGGCTGAAGTAGGCAATCAACCTTAGGAGTAAGCTGAGCAGCCACCACCTCAAAAAAAGAAGTTCCTCTGGCAGCATATATCACCCAAGAGCTGGAACGGAAACCAAAAAACTCAGCTACTTCCAGCCTCTGCAAAACAAAATCAGAGATGAATATCCCAGAAAACTTAAGGGAAAAAGAGAAACCAAGAAGAAAAAGGATAGACCTTAGAAATGCATTGGGTTGGGAAAGAGCTGCTCTTAGATGGAATCTTGGTGCCTGGGGGGGCTCTTGAAGAGAAAGGATAGACCTTAGAAAACTTAATTTGTCCCTTCGTTGGACTTCTCCTTCGATCAACCGAGTGTTATATTTCTTTGCATTATCCAGCGTGGCGGCGGCGTCACCGGGAGCCCTTTTTAACGGCCAACCGGACTCCGAAACTGTGATCTCGATCGTCTGATTATCGAACCTCAAGGCGTTTATTGCCGATCTAATTGCGTCAATTTGAGCATCCAGCACATTGTTGTAGATGTACCCTTTTGGGTCATGGATGCCGGTGGCATTTCCGAGCAAAGCATATTCTAAATCAACGGCAATGGAGTTTTCCCGCAGGCGAAATATGGGTAAGCATTAATCATGAACGGCGCTCCGGTATCGGCCAAAAACCCAAGGCGAGAACCGCCATGCTGTGCTGCGTGGTGACCTAAATTTTTAGGTCGAGCCCACGAGTTACAAGCACCAAATGATTTCTGCATTGCATGGACCAGTGCGTCGACCGGAATTCGTTGTCAAGTACTCGTTTCTGACACAGATAAAGTGGAGGTGGCGGGAATGAAGGGGATGACACGGGTGGCAAGCCATTCGTCGGCGGCGGAAACGTCGGCGCTGAAGTTTGCAACATGCTGGTTTTCTACGGCTACCATGTGAAAACTAACCCAAGATCAATGGCGGTGTTGCAGAAGGCTTCGAGGATTTCCGGATTGGTGTCGTAGATTTTGACCTTATCAAGTAAGGTGGATTGGAGGAGCTAAGCTACTTTCTTGGGTGAAGGAGGTTGGTTCCGACCGTTCCGTAGTTAATGCTGACATCGAAAACAGGCCAGAATGTGCCGAAGAAGAGGAGATGGCGGAGGAAGAGGAGATGGCGGAGGAAGAGAAGGGCTATCTTTCTTACCGCTAGAGATAGGTTTAATAAATGAAAGGTTTAAGTACCATTTTGGTCCCTCAACTTTTCACTTTGGCATCAAAACTGTCCCTCACCTTTAAAAAGTACTAAATTTATCCTTAAATTTTCATTTTTGGTACAAAACGGTCCTTCCGTCAGTTAAATGACAGATGGCACGTTAATTTGCCAGCAAATTAATTATTTTTTTGTTTAACTAATGACATGGAAAAAAAAGTTTAGTTGATCATCCTAGTTGGCATTTTTATTTAATTTAAAATTTTTAATATCTTTTTTTCCATCCACATCATCTCTTCTTCCTCTTTCACTTTCTTTCTCCTTTACCTTTCCTTTTCCTTTACCTCTGCAAACCCAGATCTGGGTTTTCTCTCAAACTTCATCTTTTTCCTCCTTTCCTCCTACCTTTCCTTGCTCATCCTTCTTTTTTCTTCTTCTTATTCTTTGTCTTTCTCTCTTCTCTCTTCTTCTTCCTCTCTCAAACCCAATCTGGGTTTTTCTCTGCCCTTGAGAGTCCGTCCTATCCCTTCATGAATCGAAAACGACAGTCCTCTCCTCTGTGCCAGGTGCTTGTGCGGTGGAACCCACCCATCGTGATCCTCATCTCCATCGTCGACGTTGTCTCCATCATCGTCGCTGTCATCGTTTTTGTGATCCCTGTACTCCCTTTTCAAAATCAGTTCAGCACGTTCACCGGCACCAACGACGCCACCACCTGGCCGCTCAAATCACCAGCTCTGGTATGTTTCTTGGATGAATGCTAAGTGGGTAATTGTTGTTTAAACAACAAAGTCGAATTTAAGTGAATATACTAAACAACAAAGCCATGGCTCTCTCTGAATCCTCTAAGCAATCCCTAATCCCCGCATTCCTCTACTCCTCTCCCAACTCCCTCTCCTTCGATGGTGTCCTCAACACCAACCCTACTTTCGCTGCTCCAACCTCCACCGTCACGGCTGCTCTTGATGGACGTGCTGTTGCTTCACCGTCAATCAACACAAGGAGCTTCGTCATCCCTTCACCTAACGAGTCTAGGAAGAAGATCGAGATGTACTCGCCTGCATTCTAGATGGCCTGTACTTTTGGAGGAATCCTCAGCTGCAGTTTGATTCACATGGCCGTCACTCCTCTTGACCTTGTCAAGTGCAGTACGCAAGTTTAGATGTAGTTTCATTCTATTGCTTATTTTGCATTTTCTATGTGTATTTTCTAAGTTGATTCGGTGGTTTTCGTGTTGATTATTTTTGAGATTAGATCTGCAGTTGGCTTGTATGTGATTTGGCTCAAATCGCTTCGTTTCTAGAAATTCTTTACTCTTTTTAATCTATGTTCCTTTTTATTGGTTGGGTTAGGAGATCTCGGCTTTGTTGTTTAGTATATTCGAGATTAGTTTTCATGTTATGTGATGAAACACAGATCTGGATTTGAGAAAAACCCAGATCTGTCGAGATTAGTTTCCATGTTATGTGATGAAACACAAATCTGGATTTGAGAAAAACCCAGATCTGGGTTTGAGAAAGGAAGAAGAAGAGAAAAAGACAAAGAACAAGAAGAAGAAAGAAGAAGGATGAGCAGGGAAAGGTAGGAGGAAAGGAGGAAGAAGATGAAGTGTTTGAGAGAGAATCCAGATTTGGGTTTGCAGAGGTAAGGGAAAAGAAAAGGTAAAGGAGAGAGAAAGTGAAAGAGGAAGAAGAGATAGACGTGGATGGAAAAAAAGATATCAAAATTTTTAAATTAAATAAAAATGACAACTGGGATGGCCAATTAAACTTTTTTTTTCCATGTCATTAGTTAAACAAAAAATAATTGATTTGCTGGTAAATTAACGTATCACCTGCCATTTAATTGACGGAAGGACCGTTTTGGTATAGAAAATGGAAGTTTAAGGATAAATTTGATACTTTTTAAAGGTGAGGGACAATTTTGGTGCTAAAGTGAAAAGTTGAGGGACCAAAATGGTACTTAAACCTAAATGAAAATATTAGGAATGAAACTTATTTCGGCTCAGAATAAAAAGAAAATCAAGGATTCTGTCATTAGGCTACCTCCAGTTCAGGGACGGAGTAAATTTCGATTTTTCAGATTTTATTTAGTGAAAATTTTGTTTTCAAAGCGTGGATTGTAGGGACTTAAGAATTTTGAACATGGAAAAATTGTTAACGTACCTAATATGAGACAAAATTAGCATAATTGATCAAAAGGATGTTATACTTATACCTAGCAAAGAGGTCAGGTCAGTTTGGATTTAGTTGTTTTGGGTCTCTGGTTTATTGAGACTTGAGAGTTTGACTCTTATAATTGGCATATTTTTTTCATTTTTTTTTTTTTAACTTTAGCTTCGTTTCACAATACTTTGAGCAAACCTTTTTTTCACATTACAGTTTATCTAAAAATATAAATTTTTAATTTTTAATTAACTTCGTATTTACTTTTACTAATTTTTGTGAGTATTTTATATATTTGATAATGGTTTTGCTAATTTAAATTGTGGGCTTAGTCCATATAAGTTTGGTTTAATTCTTGTTGGGCTAAACTATTAATTTATACCAATTAGGCCTTAGTTTAGATGAATATGGGCTATCTTATTGAGCTAGAGTTAGGATCACAATAGGGGGTGAGCATTTTCGGGTACAATCGGGTATGAAATATATTTGATATTTAATTTGAAAATTTATATATATAATTTTTTAAATTTGATATTTATCTAAATATTTAAAAATCTATACTTAGTACTTAACCTAAGATATACTAAATAACTTACAAATGTATATTTATATACTTGTTGAATGACATTTTACTTTAATTTTTTTTCTAAATTAAAATTTAATAAAATATCGCTTGCTTTTAATCTAAATTTAAATAAAACTAGTAAAGTTTTAATAAAATATTATTTATTACAACCTAAACTTAAACATAATCTAAAAAAACAATAGAAAACTAAAATTTAGTTACACATTAAGAACTTAAATTTACATTATATTAAAAAACTAAATTCAATTAAATAATTATAATAAAGAATGAAAAATATATATTAAAAAATAAAGAATAAAAATAAATTAAATAACAAAATAAAAATATTTTTCTAAAGGTTTTAAGGTTTTTGGGTTTATATAACAGACGCGTTGATCCACTAGATACATTCACCACAACACACTCTTAGCTATAGCCCTCAATTCCAGTGTAATTGTCTTTTTTCCTAACTGTTGTAGCTAATTAGATGGCAGCTGACCTTGTCCTTGGTTCTGTTGTTAACGCTATTGTATTCAGGGCGATTGTTAATTTCTAACCTCTTAACCGTTAGTTTTATATCGCTATATCTAACAGTTTCTTAAATTAAGACGGATCAATTACTAGGAGCAATATTAACGAGTAAGTTTGAAGATTAGATTATAAATAACAGTAGAACTTAGGACCAATGCGGAAGGCCGAATTTCAATTGAGCTCAGAAGTCAGTAATCCATCGAAACCATGGAGACCGAATACGCTGGGCCTAGGATAGTCGAATTTCTAAATATAATGGTCATTAAATTTGGTCCTCCATTTTATCTTCATGATGATTGAATGCTGCAAAGAAGGCTCCTCTATGCATGGGCCTGAGGCCCTAGATGTCAGTTTCTTGGTCCAACCTAAAGTCCAACTCTAGTATGTTGGGCCGTTCTTGATGTTTTTTTTCTAAAAAAAAGAAGACTGTTGGGTTGAGCCCAAATCAAAGGTTGGAGAGGCTGTAAGCGGATTAATAACTGGAAGAGACAGGCTTTACAGTCTACAAATATTCTGAATACAACTTTGGAGGCATGGAATGGGCAAATGAACTAGAAAATTACAACAGTAATAGTAATAAATACTATATATATATTGGTGTTGATGTGCTTTGTGAGTGAGTTAGAGAATGTTAGGTAGAAACAATCTAGCATGTGTCACATGTATTACGATGGGGAAAAAAAAATCTGCTATGTGGGTCTCATATTCCGGTGGCATGGATAAGAAATTTCTCTCTAATTGTCGCTGCATTTTCTTTTCAAACAGTATATTGATGACGAAAACAACATTTTGAAAGAAATGTGGTGCTTGGACTGGGATCAATTTTGGACCAGGTATGAGTCTCATTTAATTTTCGTTATGAAACATCTGAAAATTATCACACATAAAATGAAAACATAGGCAATGACGCAGAAGTTACCTAGACAAATTGTCGTGCACTAAGGGTCCTTTTCCGATAGAACAAAAATCTAGAAAAGGATCCATTGCAGATTGTGAGATAGAGAGAAGGTCAAGTCATGGCCTCACTCTAATAAGAGAGGCGATTTTTCATGATACCAATTAATACTGAGTATTGGTATGACATGCCAACCATGACCAGAACCATTACATCAAATTTAAAATTTTAACTGAAAAAAATATACAATTCCAAGCAACTTTAATTTACGTATCATCCGAAGTCTTTCTCATCTTTTTATCATGTGGCCCCCAATTTATGACTTTTATTTTTGTTTTTGTTTTTGTTTTCTCGGTTTTAGAATTAAAGAGCAAAAATAGATAAATATTTTTGTAAGAGCAGTGTTAATAAAAATTAAATATATTAAATACAATGTTAAATGTTAAAGTGAAATAGCAGTGAAAATTTTGATTAATAAGTAGTGAAAATTTTGATTAACAAGCAGTAAAATATGGGATAGTTTTATTTGGTGAGAACTCTGAATACCCACAATGACCTATTATTCCCCGTAGAGATGGAAACGAAGGTAATTTTTAACCCTCTATTAAAAATTCATGTGAGGATTCTCATACCCGCCGATGTGGATGGAGAGGGTCCCTCCCCTGTAGGGACCGTTGCCATCCCTAAAGAAGAGAAAGTTGCGCACATGATGAAGGTGTTTTTGTGGAAAGAGGAGAAAGTTGGCACATAGTAAACGTTCATCATCTTGTCTCCTCAGTCACAGGCTTTTTGATTTGGAAAGAAGTTGCTTTTCCATTCTCCATTTCTTTGATTTTTCATTTTAGTGTCATCTTCATGTGAATAACTCATGTCACAAAAATTAAATATATTAAGATACATAAAAAAATAGTTATTAAATTTTTATAAAAAAATATCAAAATAAATATTAAATCAAAAAATTAAATTATGATAATTAGATATTTCTTGCTTGTTTTTATTAAAAATATTTTAAATCAAAATATAAATGACACAGCTTTTTAATATTATATTTTTGGTTCATTTTAACTTATATTTATATCTTAAGGATTAACTTTTGTTTTGTACTCCTTCAAAAATTATTTTTAACTGTCATCATCGTAATCTTGCTTTTGGTACTTTTTTTTTGGTTTTATTTTTATAGTAAACGTTCATCATCTTGTCTCCTCAATCACAGGCTTTTTGATTTGGAAAGAAGTTGCTTTGCCATTCTCCATTTCTTTGGTTTTTCATCTTAGTGCCATCTTCATGTGAATAACTCATGTCACAAAAATTAAATTTATTAGAGCACACAAAAAATAGTCATTGAATTTTCATAGAAAACGTGAAAATAACTCAATCACAGGCTTTTTGATTTGGAAAGAAGTTGCTTTGCCATTCTCCATTTCTTTGGTTTTTCATCTTAGTGCCTTCTTCATGTGAATAACTCATGTCACAAAAATTAAATATATTAGGATACACGAAAAATAGTTATTGAATTTTTATAAAAAAACATGAAAATAAATATTAAATAAAAAAATTAGGTTATGATAATTAGATATTTCTTATTTGTTTTTATTAAAAATATTTTAAATCAAAATATAAGTGACACAATTTCTTAACATTATATTTTGAGTTCATTTTTACTTACATTTATATCTTTAAGATTAACGTATCTTTTGTACTCCTTCAAGAATTATTTTTAACTATCATCATCATAATCTTCCTTTCGGTACTTTTTTTTTGTTTTATTTTTTTCTTATGGGAGAAATTTCGTATTAACAATTTAACAAAAGTTTAACAAAATTTCAATACAAAATTTATTAAATTTCTTTATAGTTCTTGATAGGTTGAATTTCAATATATATAGTATGATACAAATTAATCTTAATTTTATTATTACTTTGAATGGGTTTGATTTTTTTTTTTACTTGATTTTATATTATTTCCATTTTTTGTGCAGATAGTACTTAACTCTTAAAAATCAAAAGTTTAGAACTAAATCACAATGTTTTATGAAATCAAACTTGATGAGATTGAAGATGAAATTGTAAAATTTTGAAACTTAAGAAGTAAAGTGCAAAAATCTTCAAAGCTGAGGGCCCATATTTTGATTTTATGATTAAAAAAAGAGACATGGAAATTAGTGATGATGGGCCTTCTCTTCCCCATCTCTTTTATTTTTTTCTTCTTCTTTTGTTTGTCTATTGATATAGAAAAAGTATTATATAATTTAA